TAGGACCATTATTTGACTTCATTGTGGCTACATTTGGGTAATTAATCGGACCGACCTAACCGGATAAGTTTACGTATAGGAGGGAGGTAGGAAGGAACTGGTTCACAAATAGGGTGGTGGACGAGTGGAACAAGCTTAACAACTTTGTAGTAAGTGCTGGAACGCTGGAAAGTTTCAAAAGGAAGCTGGATAGATTCATGGATGGTAGAGTGTGGTAGTAACTCTCGACAGGAGCTGCCAACCGGCCTATTGCAGACTCCTTATTTTATTATGTAACCTACAAGGAGGAGGAGGAGACAACTGACTCTTAAGTGAGGAATATAACCTTGGGTAAACGGGTCTGCCCATTTTGTCACCACTTTTTTTTACCCTTTTCGTCACTGCGTTCATTCTCCTCACCATTTCAGGGCAATAAATTCCCAAGAATTTTTACATAATTAATACATCAAATTCATTCCACAGCTTCCAGAGACGGACTTGTTTGTCATGATTTCCTTCTCTTGTGCACGATTTTAGCTTGTGCTCAGCAACTAGTTGTAATTGCAAATCAACCATTGAGGCCTATCTCTGAAGAAGAGTGACAAGGAGGTATAGAGCGAGATTGTTCTTTGCTGCTCGGTGGTTTATGCGCTGGTGCCAAATTACCTTCAATTGTTCTGTATTTTGTTTATTTACCAACGTTTTAATCGTTTCTTTATTAAATAATAAATTCATGTATAATAATAACATAATACTTCTCGAGTCGTCTGTATACATGTGTAATTTCTATTCGTGTAAAATAATAACTTAGAATTTGTCATGTTAATACCAGCAACTAACGGTCTGTTAGTGGTGACGAAATGGAGTGTATCCAGGTAAACGTAGCAGGAACCTGTGGACAAATAAACTAAAGACAAAATCCCCAGGGCCGGACGAAATTTTCCCTCGAGTCTTGAAAGAGTGTAGGGAACAGATTAGCGAACCCCTTGTAAATTTATTTACAAAATCATTAGACACCGGAGTTGTGCCAGACTTGTGGAAACAGGCAAATGTAGTACCCATATTCAAAAAGGGAGACAGAGCATCAGCGTCAAATTACCGGCCGATCAGTTTGACGTCAGTAGTGGGGAAATTTCTTGAATCAGTTATAGCAGATAGCATTCGATCGCATCTAGAGAAAAGCAAATTAATCTATGACTTGCAACATGGGTTTACAAAGGGAAAATCTTATCTAACAAATCTGCTGACGTTTTTTAGGAAAGTCTTCGAGGTAGTAGATAATGACGAAAATTACGATATAATTTACTTAGACTTTAGCAAAGCATTTGACAGTACTGCATCAGAGGCTTCTGAGAAAGATTAAGGCTCATGGTATCGAGGGGGAAGTTTTAAATTGGATAAAATCATGGCTCACCGATAGAACGCAGAGGGTCAGCATAGATGGTGTTAAATCTGGGTGGGGCCGTGTAACCAGTGGGGTTCCCCAGGGGTGAGTACTAGGCCCACTCTTGTTCATAATCTACATAAACGATCTAGATACTGGGGTCAGCAGTGACGAAAGCAAGTTTGCGGATGACACCAAAATAGGGCGGCAGATTAATTCAGGGCAGGATGCAAATGCATTACAGGAGTATCTAAATAAACTGCAAGGGTGGTCTGAAAAATGGCAAATGAAATTCAACACCAGCAAGTGCAGCGTACTTAATATTGGAAGAACAAATACTGACAATGTATACAGCCTTAACAACAACAACCTAGAGAAGTCGACTTGTGAAAGAGACCTAGGGGTACTTGTAAGCCCGGACCTACGGCCTGGAAAACAGTGCGCTAATGTTCGAAATAAGGCAAACAGAGTATTGGGTTTTATATCTAGAAGTAAGTAATAAGAGTGCAGAGGTCTTATTGCAACTATATCTTGCGCTAGTCAGGCCGCACCTCGATTATGCGGTTCAGTTCTGGTGCCCTTATTATAGAATGGATATCAATTCACTAGAGTCGGTGCAGCGAAGAATGGCGAAAATGATTCCGGGACTTAGAAACCTTCCATATCAGGATAGGTTAAAGAAATTTAACTCGCATTCCCTAGAAAGACGAAGAGTGCGGGAGATATGATAGAAGTATTTAAGTGGGTGAAAGGAATCAATAAGGGGATATAGATAAAGTTCTTATAATATCCGAGCAGGATAGGACTCGGAGCAACGGATTTAAGTTGGATAAGTCTAGGTTTAGGAGGGAGATAGGAAGAAACTGGTTCACTAATAGGGTGGTGGACGAGTGGAACAAGCTTACCAATTTTGTAGTAAGTGCTGGATTACTGGAAAGTTTCAAAAGGAGGCTAGATAGATTCATGGATGATAGGAGTGGTTGTAACTTTTGACAGGAGCTGCCATGCACAGGCCAACTGGCCTATTGCAGACTCCTTACTTTCTTATGTTCTCCAATCAGAGCGCACTCGGGGTAAAATAACGCTTGTATGAACTTTGGCTGGCCCTTTCAAAATATTTACTGCCTTACCTTAACACTTATAAATCACAATATTGTGACTTCTCTACTGGTCCACTTCACATGGAATACTGTACAGTACTGTAGTTATATGATTCGCTGGCTGGTAAATACTGTACACTTCTATATAGCACTGACTCAATTATGGTTTTTGTTGCCTTAAATACTGTATCAACGTTTGGTGATCGAGAATAGTTATTATGAGAGTAATGTACGTACTTAGAATTATAACAACTGTTTCATTACAGCAGGAGAGCTAGAATATGCACCCTGGGGGAGGGGGGTACTTATGTTGGGAGATTCCACATTTAAAAACTACCAATACTTTGCTTGACTTTTGTACATAAAGCAACTCCAGTATTTTCAACTGGTGTATTGAAGACAACCTCTCTCTCACATCAGGAACATTGCTAATTAGTTGCAGGGATTTTGCAGTTTTCCTATTTGTTGTTTTTCCTGCCTCTTTTCCAACAGTAATACAGTATGCATCTACTGGCAACATGCTGCCGATGCTAATTATTCTTGTTTGTATATAACAAATGCTTCCAGTGAATATGATCTATGTGACATGAGATGAAGCAAACAACCTGTCTTAATCCAAACAGATTATATTACTTTATTTTTGTGATGCTGGGAATCCTTCAGGTCCTTACATTCTCACCTTTGGTTTAAATTAATGGCTGATGTCACATTTTAGGATCTGCATGGTGGTCATGTACAGTACAATCTCACAAGAAAATGCGTGACTAATGTAGTGAATCCTGTACAGTACAATACAGTGTGTTCTCACATTTATTACTGTACTGTATTGACAAGCCAGTAAAGCCTGGTTTGTGTTACTCATGAGATTAGTTGTCATTTTGTATGGAGGTGAAGCTGACTGATGAAACTTGCACATATAATCCATTACAGTAGATGGGGTTTCACATCTAACAAGACCCTCTATATAATGGACTTTCCTCTCTCTGGTAAACAGCTGTGATACAATACTTCTCCCTCTCATAACACTTGACTATTCCTATGGTACAGCATACTATATTCATAACTTTGTTATGGATTGGCCGATCAGGAAAACATCTGATGAGCCTATTACAGTGTATATCTTGGTTTTCCTCCGTAATCTTTGACTCATCAACTTTTGACATATGTGTTTTCTACAACTTGTACATACACATTATACTGTACCTGGTTGTTTTAAGCTTCAAGTCTGTGGGTGATACTTGGGAGAGACTTGGAGCGCTTACTAATTTGCCTCCTCGTCTCCCCCAGGTACCGGTGCCTTGGGCAACATCATCCAGACCCGTGGGATTATCCACTGAGCACCAGGACATTAACTTAGGCTGCCAATTTGGGCTAAGTAGTGATCTTGAGGACCAAGTAACTGCCGTACGTCCAACACAATGCCGCAGAACGAACACATTGAGCTTCATCGCAAGCGCCATGGACGGCGACTTGATTTTGAGGAACGGAAAAGGAAAAAGGAGGCTCGTGAACCTCACGAAAGATCGGCCAAAGCTAAGAAGATATTTGGATTAAAGGCCAAATTGTACCACAAGCAGCGCTGCTCTGAGAAGATACAGATGAAGAAAACTATTAAAGCTCATGAAGCAAAGTTAACAAAACAGAAGGACACAGATGCTGTACCAGAGGGAGCGGTGCCTTCCTACCTCTTGGACCGTGAGGGACAGTCTCGTGCCAAAGTCTTGTCAAATATGATTAAACAGAAGAGGAAGGAAAAGGCCGGTAAATGGGACGTCCCCATTCCCAAAGTCCGAGCACAGTCCGAGGCAGAAGTGTTCAGAGTTGTTAAATCCGGCAAGAGAAAGTCGAAGGCCTGGAAACGTATGGTCACCAAAGTAACATTCGTGGGAGATCAGTTCACCAGGAAGCCGCCCAAGTTTGAAAGGTTCATTCGACCAATGGCTCTGAGATTTAAAAAAGCTCACGTAACTCATCCAGAATTAAAGGCAACCTTTTGTCTTCCTATTATTGGGGTGAAGAAGAACCCCAGTTCATCCACATACACATCTCTTGGTGTTATAACTAAAGGCACAGTTATTGAAGTTAACATTAGTGAACTTGGTCTTGTTACTCAGAGTGGTAAAGTTGTGTGGGGTAAATATGCCCAGGTTACTAATAACCCAGAGAACGATGGTTGTATCAATGCTGTTCTCTTGGTGTAGTCACTATGGGGCGAGGGAAACATGTCACTCATATTTAACTCTGGGAATGTCAACAGATGGAGAAAATTATATGTATGAAAAGTTTATTTTTATTAAGTAAGAATGACGCGGACTGAAAGGAGTGTGTGTGTCTGCTTGCTCTGTTTCTGGACATACCACGCTGTAATGGGGAGAATTTGATATATTTTTTTCCCCCCCCTCAATGTTTACTGTTGAAAATTGTATTGGCAAGCTGAATTTATCATGTTAAAAAAATCCTGATACATTAACATCTCAATAAAGGTAAAATGAAATGTTTTGTATATTATTCTATCACCAAGTTAAAACGAAGTTACTGACCAATGTTATATGCTATGTTGGTATGGAAATTAAACAGGTGATTTGCATCTGGGTTTAACTTTACACAGTATGGTACATAACTATGAGGTCCATCAATAATGGAATGTGGTTAAGAAGGAGAGGAAAATGAAGTGTGAGGTCTACCCACAGTTACACCTGAAGAGATATTTAAAGTTGCTGAATCTGAAGATTTTAAGTTAACTTGGGAAATTTATGGTGAGAAGATATGTAGTAAGTGAAGATTTCACTGTTGGTGTAAAGGATCACCAGTCCTCCCCACCCCAGCTTATTTCACCAGATGATAAAACACTAATGCTACCTGTACTACTGTATAGTAAATTGCTCCCCTCTTGCTCAATGATTTTTATAGACGGTTTCGATTATCGACGGATTATTTAGCCGGATTTTTATTTTGAAATGTGCTTGATATAATCCATTCACGGAAATGTAATATTTTTGCTAAAATGACGTATGTATTACAGTGGAGAGTGGGATCAAATCGTGACGAAAACAATGACTTGCGCTTTCTTTCGTTCAAAAGATGTTACCGTAATCACTTTTCGAATGGTTTAGTTAAAAAACTGTTGTATTGTATTACAATAATATCCTAATTGACTTGAATAAATATTACGATACCATATTTCTGAATATTTTCATTAAAATCCATCAAAATCATTTTCCTTGTCATCGTCTGCAGCACCAAACAGCTTCTCCCAGTCCTCTCCTTGAACAGGGCTAGAGGCTACGTGTTTTTCGAATCGTTTTCAGTTAAAAAATTATTACATCACATGTATATTTTACCTAAACTGCGCCTGAATGAATATATTCTCGGAAATAAATAGTAGTTTTGCTGAAACGTGACGTATTTCAATGTAAAATAGGATAAAATACATGACGAAAACAAAAGACTTTACCTAACCTTCCAATGTTCTTGAGATGTTACTCGTTTTTTTAATAGTTTTCGGTTAAAATTCTGTTATATTACAATGATATTCTATTCATACTGTGCTTGATATAATACATTCACGGAAATGTAATATTTTTGCTGAAATTACGTACGTATTAAAGTGGAAAGTGGGATAAAATCGTGACGAAAACAATGACTTTCGCTTTCTTTCGTTCAAAAGATGTTACCGTAATCGCTTTTCGAATGGTTTAGTTAAAAAACTGTTGTATTACAATAATATTCCCTCCTAATTGACTTGAATAAATACTTGAATGGAAATATACAATATTTTTGTTGAAACTACCCGCGTTTCAGTGTAAAGTGTTGTAATAATAAATGGTAAACAATTTGCCTTGGGCATCCGGATTTTTGGACTTTTACTGTAGCCTACTGTACACTGTTTTGTTTACTGTAAGGACCGATGTTCACTTCAATAAATGAAATTGTAAGTTTGCTAGTATTTTTGTCCACTTATTATATTATTATTTATACACTATTATTTAAGGTTATGTGTAAAGGAAACGCATTAATGCTTAAAGGTACATTTATTCAACATATGCTAATAATAGTTAGAAAAATTACGTAACCATCACGGTATCGACGGTTTCTTTATCGACGGCCGTTTACAGAACGTAACCCCCGTCGATAAAGAGGGAGTACTGTACTGTATATGTGTGAGATGGTGTAGCCTATGTGTGTTAATTCCTGTTCTGTACATTTCAGGTATTGGTGCCTTCTGTATTGAGACAATAAACATCAACAAAATCAAACAGTATATTACTGACCGACAGTGCATACAGTAAAGTTACTATGAGTGGAAACAGGCTGCTGTCGAATGCCAATCAGCTGATGGGTAACATTGAATGTAAGGATGATCCCAACAGGCCTTGGGTAATATTGGTAAGATCTAATTCTTCTTTGTTTTCAATCATATCTGAGTCTGTGGATTCCTTATTCAAGGTATTTTATGAAAATGTTTCTAAACTTCCTGATCTCTCAGCACTAACAAAGAGACAGGAAGGCCAAGCAACTGTGGGTCATCAGTCATTGTTTCTAGGTGATACTACACTTTCTTGGCCTGATATTTGCCCCAAATGATCTCTGAATTAGATAATGTCTGGGCTAACATATTGAAAGACTTAACATTCATTGCCGCAGATAGGAATGCTCACAAGTTTAGTTTTTTTTTTTTAAGTTCCAATTTAATGACAAAAAGAGTTCCTTATATGAACTTTCCCAATATTTTTTGGCTCCAAAATATGATGATATAAGTTATGAAATAAATTTGAAACCAATTGCTTCTCCACTGTTGCTTGAAGAATTCAAATTTAAGAAGTTGGAAGCAGATATTTGGTCTGCAATTCTGATGTGTCAGTTATGGACTAAGTTTGTGCTGGACTATGAGGACAGTTGAGAAGTAGACATATGTTTTGCTGCTGCTATACAAGGGATTCCATATTCCCTGTACAACTCATTTATGGAAATGTTGTTGAAAGCCCTAAAACTAAAAGCCCAGATAATGAAGCAAGCCACTAATAATGTTTCAAGTGGTAGTGCTTATTTAATACTACGTTCTTCCCCTCTTTCTCCTGCTTTGTTTGATGAACAACCATAAGTTAAGTATAGATCAGCTGTTGAGCAAGCTATTAATATTACGGTTCCCAGGAGTCCTCAGACTTTTTGGAAATTTAAAAGAGGAAGGTCTAACAGGGGAACAGGACCAGCAGCAAGGTTCAGTTATCAATCCAAAGAAAACTTTAGAGGAGGAAACAATTCAAGATGTAGTAAGGGTGGCCGTTTGTTCAAAAGTGGAAGTAGACCTTATTCCACCACATCAGCGGTCATTCCCTCCCAATGAAGCCAGACAGCTGGGTCTTCTAGGGGGTTGGGAAAACAGGTGGACTTCAACCATATGGATTTACAAGACAATCAAAGGGGCCCTCCCCTAGTGTTACCAAAAAGGGATAAAAAAGAAACCCCCTTACTCACAGAATCTGTAATTCAACTGTTAAACAGAGGTGTGATAGAACTGTTGCAGTCAGAGAAATGTTTCATGTCTCGCCTATTCCCAGTCTCCAAGACAGGCAGCGACAACTTGAGGTGGATTTTAGATCTTTCCTTCCTGAATAATTTCATTACCAAAACAAGCTTCAAGATGCTCACTTACGATTATCTGAGGCATCTACTTCCGCCCAATGCTTGGATCTCGAAGATGCCTATTATCACGTGCCTCTTGCTCCCAGGTACAGAATGATTCTAGATTTCGCAGTGGGGGATGAAAGTTATCAATTTACAGTGATGCCATTCGGCCTGATAATTGCGCCAGAAGTGTTTACAAAACTGGCATACATCCCCAGGAGATCCTTGCGAAGGAGGGCATAAGAACTTTAGCTTATCTAGACGATTAGCTGATAGTGGGAAATTCTTCCAAATATTGTCAAAGGGCGACCCAACGTACACTAGTACTATTTCAAAACCTAGTATTAAAGATAAACCGGGTCAAATCTAATCTCATACTATATCAGAAATTGGATTGGTTAGGTCTCCATTGGGACATAAATCAGCAGTCAGTCAGTCTGCCAGGAGCAAAGGTAACAGATGTGAAAAACCAAGTGGAAGCCTTTTGTGCAAAGAAAGAGGTTTCTTGGCACGATTGGAAAAAACTACTGGGTCTGTTGAATTTTGCCACAATAGTAGTTCCTTTGGGCAAGATAAGGAAGAAGCAACTAACTCATCTGGGGTTGAATTTGCTTCACAGAAACAGAAATTTTGCTTCTCTCCCAATTCACAAGACTCTTCTGTCTTGGTGGAAAAATTGAGACAATCTAATTGGTTTCTCTCCCTGGGTTCCACCTCAAGCAGACTTGGTCGTTTGTACGGATGCGTCCAAAATAGGATGGGGATACCATTCCTCAAAAGGGGGATTCAGTCAAGGGAAGTGGAGCAACTTCCTTTGGGACAAACACATAAACGTAAAGAATTAGCAGTACTGTAGTCCCATTCTTTTTGTTGGCAAACCCAAATTTAAAAAATATGACAATCATGTTTGCCATTAACAACAAAATGGCAGTGTTTTGTCTCAATCATCAAGGCTCAAAGCAACTCATATACCAGGAGTACACAACAATTGGGCAGATGCGTTGTCCCGTCTCAGGCGAGTATCAACGGAAACAGAATGGTCCCAAAAGGTATCAGAGTTCAAGAGTCTAGTGAGGAAGTTTGGAAATCCAAAAATAGATCTCTTTGCCTCCCTAAAAAATCACAAGATGCCACTTTATGCATCTCTGGAACGATCGAATCTTTTTTGGAAATGCTCTACTTATAGATTGGAACCGTTGGAATTCAATCTATCTGTTCCCACCTGTGAAAATGTTGCCCAAAGTGGTTCACAAACTCAGATCATTCCAAAGCAAGGTCCTCTTAATTACACCATATTGGATCCTACAACCTTGGTGCCTGGATCTGTTGGACTGGTGCCCGCATCCACTACAATTGCAGCAAGGGTCTAGACCAGGTACGTACTGCATTCTCAGTTCAAGATATCTTTGGCACTTCACGCTTGGAGTTTCTCAAAAGAAGTTTAAATAGATTGTTGGGTAATTACATTATAGCAAACCAAGTAATAACAGGTCATAGACCCTAAACTTCTATGCAATATAAGAAAGCTTGGAAACTTTTTCAACAATTTATCAAGTTAACGACTAGACACATTGTCGGAAACAGTTGTTAGAATTTTTTGAATTTCTGTTCAGAGTAAAAGGCCTTCAAGGATCAAAATTGCATCTTGTAAATCAGCATTGGTTGACCCTCTGGCGTGGGGTTTTAATATTACTTTGAACCCAAGAATTGCTGTAGAAGGCAGGCTTCCATCTAGCAATAGCAACAGGTATGAGGATCAGTGAACTGATTTCAATTTCCAATAATCCATCATTATTGGTATTTCCTGAGGAAGATGTCACCCTTTTTACTATGGAGATCCTAAGAAAAAATGAAAGGGAGGATTTTCAA